CTAACCCATTAGCTCTTCCTGTCCGGTACTTAAAGGTCATCAAGCCTCTCCCACACCTTGATCCACCTCAGAGAAGTCCATTAAGCAATTGTTTTTCGGGCAAATACATCAACCTGCCCCAGAGTACGTTTTGCCCTAGATCTGAAGCACCCTGCCACCCCAGCAGTGTGTGTGTGTGTGTGTTCCTTGCACCAACCACATACATCCCCATTTCGTGGGCTTCTTCCTTTCACAAAACACTAGCCATTTTGCTGCTTCCAGTTTGATGTAGTGGTTAAAAGTGCAGACTCTAATCTGGGAGAACCAGGTTTGGTTCCTAGCTCCTCCTCATGCAGCTGCTGGTGTGACCTTGGGTCAGTCACAAGTTCTCTCAGAGCTGTTCTCTCAAGAGCTCTCTCAGCCCTATCTACCTCACAGGGTGTCTGTTGCGGGGAGGGGAAGCGAAAGAGATAGTAAGCCGCTCTGAGACTCCTTCAGGTAGTGAAGGGCAGGGTATAAATCCAATCTCCTATTCCTTCTTCTTCTTCTCCTCTTCTTCTTCATCCGTAATTATCACCCTTCCATAAAATCACTTTCCTCTTTCCTCCCCGTGTTTCTCTTAGCTAGCTCTTGTGTGTTTATTGTGTGCATTTTGGTTCTATTTTTTCCCCCTTTTAAATAAAAACCTTTCTGGTTGAACATTGCCTGCTTTATTTCGAGAGTTCCCTTAAAGGGAAACATCCCCATATACATAGGTGGAGAACCCAGCTACCCCCTTTCGCTCTGTCTCCTTTGCTAATCCCCCCAACTAATTAGGGGACGACTGATATGGGTAACAGGAGGGCCAGATGTGACGAGATCGGGCCAGCTTGGCTATAATAGATGATTACAGAATGCATTTTGAAAAAACTTCAAGAGGTGCAAAATCTAGAAGAACACAGGGAAAGGAATGGCTCAGCTGAAATGAACAGCACATCTGTACTGAACAATAGGAGCTGTGGTGGCTCAAGTGGTTAAGACACTGAACTGCAGGCTGTGGAAGGTCGGTAGTTCAGCAGTTCGAGACCCGAGTGTGCCGAAGGACGGAGTGAGCTCCCATCTCTAGTTCCAGCTCCTGCCGACCTAGCAGTTCGAAAGCAGAAATTGCAAGTAGATAAATAGGTACCACTTCGATGGGAAGGTAACAGCGTTCCGTGCGCCTTGGTGTTTAGTCATGCCGGCCACATGACCACGGAAACGTCTTCGGACAGCGCTGGCTCTTCGGCTTGGAAACGGAGATGAGCACCGCAACCCTAGAGTCGGATTCGACTGGCTTTCGAGCAAGGGAAGACCTTTACCTTTTTACTGAACAATAATCAGCCGTTTTCCTTGGGAGTTCTCTGCTCCACGAACAAATGACCTGTAAGTTAGGGATGCCGAAGGAACCTTCCCACCTGGACTGAGTGTTCCCTCCCCTTCCAGGTCACTTGTATTTCTTTATCTATTTATTAGATTTTTTTTTAGTTGCCACTCACTCAAAGGGCCTCGTGGCGACTTACAACATCAAAACATTAAACCAATAAGGTAAAAACAACATAAAAACGAAACAACAAATCTAAAATATTAACATTAAAGTATTAAAATACGTGGCTATTACCGTACCACTATTAAAACAGCCCAAACATGTGGTTACCCTCCAAAGGCCAACCTAAACAATTCAGCTTTGCATGCTGTGCGGAAACTGAACAAGCAGGGCACAGGTGTTATCCTGGAATGCATTCGATATGGTAGGGGCCACCACTGAGAAGGCCCTCCCCCCTGGTGATCGCTAACCGAGCCATCCTGGGGCCAGGCACTTGCAAAAGGCCCCCTGCTGGTGACCAAAGGGAGCGCGGAGGGTTGTAACGGGAGAGACAGTCCTGTAGGTATGAAGGTCCTAGACTGTTCAAGTCCTTAAAGGTTAACACCAACACCTTGAATTGGATCTGGAGACTAACTGGTAGCCACTGCAGATGTCACAGAACTGGAACAATATGAGCCGACTGGAGCATTATGAGCTGGAGTCATAGGAGTGGAAATGAATAGGCTTAGAATGGAGTAACTCTCCTTGGGATTGCACGGTTAGTAACGCAACGGAACAGTGATCTTTTAAAGTCCAAGCCATTCGCTTCTCCCTTCTTTGCGGCCTGCCAGCCCCCAAAGTCCACCGTTTTCCTCTTGTTGGTGGGTCAAGAAGGGTCCAGCTGAACGCTCTCTGCACCAGCTCCCAAACTGAGGGTCCCAACTGATCTCCCCACTAGATGACACACTGATTCTAAAATTACCGTTTAGAACAAACACCCAGGGCTCTTTCTGTAGCAGGAACTCCTTTGCATATTAGGCCACACACCCCTAATGTAGCCACTCCTCCAAGAGCTTACAGAGCTCTTCTTACAGGAGCTACTGTAAGCTCTTGGAGGATTGGCTACATTAGGGGTGTGTCGCTTAATATGCAAAGGAGTTCCTGCTACAAAAAGAGCCCTGCGGGCAAACATCTCTCTCCATTAACAGTGTCCATCCATAAATCATAGTTACCTTAAACAAGGTATAAAGAGCCCATGATTAAGGTTCAGCCTCCCCAGCAGGGCAGCCTGGCTTCCCTCTTCTGCTTCCCACAAATTCTGCACCCTTCTGCACCTAGAGGCCCCGCCCCTTCCTGGCCCATTCCATTCCCAGTTGGGGGGGGTGTCACACATGCGCAGACAGAGCCGTAGAATCCAAGGCGAAAACAGAGCTCAGTCCCGCATGTGGACTCTCCCGTGTCGGATCAAGTCTGAGCTGTTGCCGAAGCTTTTCCCGCAGTCCGAGCAGGTGAACGGCTTCTCTTTGGTGTGGACCCTCTGGTGTCTGTTTAGGTGGGACTTGTAGGTGAAGCTGTTCCCGCAAAGGGCACACTGGTACGGCTTCTCGCCCGTGTGGATCCTCTGATGCCGGAGAAGCTCTGAGGCCCAGCTGAACGTCTTCCCGCACTCAGTGCAGATCTTCCTGGTCTGCCAAAATGGCGGCTGTTTCTTATAGATGCCGAGGAAGAGTCTATTTGCTTTTGCATTCGCTTGGCTTCCCGGCTGCCTCCCTGGGAGTTGTCGGCAGCCGGGAGCTTTCCCCTGCTCGTGACACGAAGACTCGTTTTCTGTAGCCGCCTCCCGCAATTCTGCTTGCGGGCAGCTTTCCTGGTGACTGTGTTCCTCTTCACTCGCCTGTGCAGAAGCTGCGGGGTTAGAAAGAGAACGCTGAAGTGAGTGAGTTAGATTCGAGTCCAGCACACGTGAATACACATAAAGGTGCCTTCTACTGAATGAGACCCTCGGCCCAGCAAGCTCAGTATTGTCTACTCAGACTGGCAGCAGCTCCCCAGGGTCTTAGGCGGAGGTCTTTCACATCACCTGCTATCAGATCCTCGAATTGGAGGTGCCAGGGATTGAACCTGGGACCTTCTGCACACCAAGCAGATGCTCTGCCCCTGAGCCACAGCCCCTCCCTTAGAGACCAATGAGATTTTCAGGGTATAAGCTTTGGAGTGTCAAAGTTCCCCTCGGCAGGCACCAGAAGGGAGTGATTTGGCTGTGCTAAGAAGAAGCCACACTAGGGAAATCATTATTTACAGTATTTAAAAAGGTAAAGGGTAAAGGTTCCCTTGCTCGAAAGCCAGTCGAATCCGACTCTAGGGTTGCAGTGCTCAATTCCATTTCAAAGCCAAAGAGCCAGCGCTGTCCAGAGACGTTTCCGTGGTCATGTGGCCGGCGTGACTAAACACCGAGGCGCACGGAACGCTGTTACCCTCCCACCGAAGTGGTCCCTATTTATCTACTTGCAATTTCTTGCTTTCGAACTGCTAGGTTGGCAGGAGCTGGAACTAGAGACGGGAGCTCACTCCGTCATGCGGCACACTCGGGTCTCGAACTGCTGAACTACTGACCTTCCACAGCCTGCAGTTCAGCGTCTTAACCACTTGAGCCACCGCAGCTCTTACAGTATTTACCCCAATGCCAAACTAATCCCCCCCCTCCCCCGGAAAGCAATAAAATGGAGTATATGTGTGTGTGTGGGGGGGCTTACGTTTGCTTACAAGTTACAGTTATATCCAGTAAAAAACAATTTTGGGGTGCATAACATTTTTTGCAGATGTCATCTTACATTCAGGGGCACCTTCCTTTTTGAGTGCCAAAAAGGGCAGCTGAAATGATTAAGGGGATGGAACAGCTTCCCGATGAGTAAAAAATATATATTGTTAATTGGGTTTGCCTGTGTCCTTTATAAAGTTTATATCACCGGCTCCTGGCATTACATTTTATGGCATGCCCGGCCCGGCCCCAAAAAGTGACATTTATGTCAGATCTGGCCCTTGCAACAAATGAGTTTAACACCTCTGGTGATGTGATTCAGCTGAGTGACAGAGTCATTGACACGTGGAATTCACTGCTGCAAGGAGTGGGGGCCGCTACACCCATAGGCAGATTCAAGAGGAGATTGGACGACATGGAGATATGGAGCAGCGGTCCATCACTGGCTATAGGTACCACTTCGGTGGGAAGGTAACAGCGTTCCGTGCGTTTCCTTTTTTTTAGTATTCAAACTACTACTTGCGGCGGCCAAGCGTTCATAGCAACGTCACTTTTTGATCCTCTGATGTCGGCTCTTCCTATCGTTGTGTGAAACTACTACCTATCAGCTTCACACGTGAGCCTTTTATTATTCTGTATTGCTCATCTATTTAGTTTGCTTCATTTATATCCCATCTTTCTCCACAAGGGGGAACCAAAGCAACTATCATTCTCCTCACAGCGAACCTTTGAGGTAGGTCAGGCTGAGCATGTATGGCTGGGCCCAAAGTCACCCAAGCAAGCTTCCATGACAGAGCGAGGATTCGAACTTGGGTCTCCAAGATCCTTGTCCAACACACTAACCACACTACCACACATTTTTACCCTATCTTTTCTCCAAGGATCTGGCAAGAAAGGGAGAAAATTATCTCTCTATATTCACTTTGTCTTGTTTTCGGTGAGTTGGGATGTAAATTTGGTGCTGTACAAGGAAGACAGAGGTGAGGAAGTCCTGCCAGCAAAGATTTTACAGCAGTATCCAAACTAATGAGCTGGGAAAAGAAATGTTGGTTTTTATAGCCCGTTTTTCTCTACCTCAGAATGCTCCCTCTAAGCTGTGAAGTCTTGTGAGCAAAAATTCTACTTTGTAAGCGACTGGCATTAAAGTTGTGAGCGAGCGATTTGGCTGCTGCACAAATCATTTTGCCTCTGGAGCCCTCCTTCCTGAGCTAAGACAAAAATGTGTGAGCCAGAGGCTAGAAAACTGTGAGCTAGCTCACAATAACTCAGCTTAAAGGAAACACTGCCTCAGAGTCTCAAAGCCGTTTACAAGGGCCTTCTCTTCCCCTCCCCACAAAGGGCATCTTGTGAGGTAGGTGGGCCTGAATGACTTCTGACAGAAACTGTGACTGGCCCAAGGCCACCCAGTGGGCTTCATGTGGAGGAGTGGGGAATCAAACCCAATCCCCCAGATTAGAGTCCGCCACTCTTAATCACTGCTCCATGCTGTAAATCTATGTTTGCCAGACAAAAGACCTAGACCCAACCTCACGCTTGCTAAAAGGCAGCCAAAAGATCAGAATCTGTGCAAACTGAAGAGATTCTTACTTGTATCTTGGGCCTTGCTGTCTGGTTTGTAAACCCAGAAATTGTGGCTCTGCCCAGAACCCAACGGTGGTTGCTCCTCTTCGGGGTGATTCACCATAACCTCTGAAAATGGCTCTGGATCCTGAAAGAGCAGGGAGGATATGAATTAAATGATGAGCAATTTAAGAGCTACAGAGAAGGTAGCAGATAATTGCTAGTTTTGCACCACGCTACAGTCACTAGTCCCATTTTCCCTTACAACTACCCCATGACACCTTAAAGAAATGTAAGAAATTTGTGGCAGGGGATGAGCTTTCGTGAGTCACTGTTCACTTCATCAGATACAGGACAATGCACCCTCCTGGACTGAATTGAGACCTGGGTTTCCTATCTCATTACCAATGCTGATTTCTCCATACCTACTACCCCTCAGCATATCACAACTAATCCCATCATACCTGCTATTGTCATTCATCTGCTACTGGCATTTGCCTGCTAATGTCAGATGGCATCTGAAATCCTTCCACTCTCCAATATATAGGACAGACTGACTCACATTCTAGCTGTATATGAAAAAGTGAACAGTGACTCAGGAAAGCTCATCCCCTGCCACCAATTTTGCTAGTCTTTAAGGTGGAGTCTTTAACCTGGAGAAGGAAATGGCAACCCACTCCAGTATTTTTGCCAAGAAAACCCCATGGACAGTATCAAAAGGCTAAAAGATATGACGCCGGAAGATGAGCCCCTCAGGTCGGAAGGTGTCCAATATGCTACTGAGGAAGAGCAGAGGACAAGTACAAGTAACCCCAGAAAGAGTGAAGAAGCAATCCAGGAGATGATGGTATCGAAATGTCAAAGGTCAGTAGTTGTATTGCCTAGACTGGCAAGTGGTTCTTTTCCACGAAGGGATTTGGAGGCAAAGAACACACAAGTGACGAAGGAAACGGACAGGTTTTATGGACGTCTCTCTCACGGAAAATCAACAAGTCAAAAAACAAAGAATATATGCTTCTATTGCTGAGGAACCCTCCAAATTACAGCAGGTTATGACTCACTGATTTCTTTTCTAGGAATCACCAGAGACCATTATATCTTCTACTGTGGCCAGGAATCTCGTAGAAAAAATGGTGTGGCCTTTATAGTCAAAAAGAGAGTGCAAAAGGCAGTACTGGGATACAATCTCAAAAATGACAGAATGATTTCTGTCCGATTCCAAGGCAAACCATTCAACATCACAGTAATCCAAGTCTATGCCCCAACCACTGATGCAGAAGAGGCTGAAGTGGACCGGTTCTATGAAGATCTACACCACCTCCTAGAACTAACACCAAAAAATGATGTCCTCATCATCATAGGGGACTGGAATGCTAAAGTAGGAAGTCAAAAGGTAACTGGAATAACAGACAAGTTTGGCCTTGGAAAGCAAAATGAAGCAGGGCAAAGGTTAACAGAGTTTTGTCAAGAGAACACACTGGTCATAGCGAACACCCTTTTCCAACAACCTAAGAGGCGACTCTACACATGGACATCACCAGATGGGCAACACCGAAATCAGATTGACTATATAATTTGCAGTCAAAGATGGAGAAGCTCTATCCAGTCAGTAAAAACAAGACCTGGAGCTGACTGTGGTTCAGATCATGAGCTACTCATTGCAAAATTCAGACTTAAACTGAAGAAAATCGGGAAAACCACGAGGCCATTCAGGTTTAACCTAGATCACATCCCTGATGAATATACAGTAGAGGTGAAGAATAGATTCAAGGGTCTGGATTTGATAGATAGAGTGCCTGAAGAACTATGGACAGAGGTTCGTGACATCGTACAGGAGGCAGCAATCACCACCATACCAAAGAAAAAGAAATGCAAGAAAGCAAAATGGCTTTCTGATGAGGCTTTACAAATAGCAGAGGAAAGAAGGAAAGCGAAAGGCAAAGGCGAAAAGGAAAGATTTACCCAACTGAACGCAGATTTCCAGAGAACAGCAAGGAGAGATAAGGAGGCCTTCCTGAATGAACAGTGCAAAGTAATAGAAGAAAACAATAGAATGGGAAGGACTAGAGATCTCTTCAAGAAAATTGGAGAAATCAAGGGAGCGTTCCATGCAAAGCTGGCCATGATAAAGGACAAAAACGGTAGGGACCTAACAGAAGCAGAAGAGATTAGGAAAAGATGGCAAGAATACACAGAAGAACTATACAAGAAAGACCTCAATGTCCTTGACAAACACGACGGTATAATCACTGACCTTGAGCCAGACATCCTGGAATGTGAAGTTAAATGGGCCTTAGAAAGCATTACTAACAACAAAGCTAGTGGAGGTGATGGTATTCCAGCTGAGCTATTCAAAGTCTTAGAAGATGATGCTGTTAAAGTGCTGCACTCCATTTGCCAGCAAATTTGGAAAACGCAACAGTGGCCACAGGATTGGAAAAGATCAGTATACATTCCAATCCCAAAGAAGGGCAACGCCAAGGAATGTTCAAACTATCGCACAATTGCACTCATATCACACGCTAGCAAGGTCATGCTCAAGATCCTACAAGCTAGGCTTCAACAGTACGTGGATAGAGAACTACCAGAAGTACAAGCTGGGTTTCGAAGAGGTAGAGGAACTAGAGATCAAATTGCCAACATTCGCTGGATTATGGAGAAAGCAAGAGAGTACCAGAAAAATATCTACTTCTGCTTCATTGACTATGCTAAAGCTTTTGACTGTGTGGATCACAACAAACTATGGCAGGTCCTTAAAGAGATGGGAGTACCAGACCACCTCACATGTCTCTTGAGAAACCTGTATAAGGGCCAAGAAGCGACAGTTAGAACCGGATACGGAACAACTGATTGGTTCAGCATAGGAAAAGGAGTACGACAAGGATGTATACTGTCACCTTGCTTATTTAATATATATGCAGAGTACATCATGCGAAATGCTGGCCTGGATGAATCACAAGCGGGAATTAAGATTGCTGGGGAAAAGATCAACAACCTCAGATATGCAGATGATACCACTCTAATGGCTGAAAGTGAAAAGGATCTAAAGAGCCTCTTGCTCAGAGTAAAAGAGGAGAGCGCAAAAGTGGGCTTGAAGCTCAACATCAAAAAAACTAAGATCATGGCATCCGGCCCCATCACTCCTTGGCAAATAGAAGGGGAAGTCGTGGAAGTAGTGACAGACTTCACGTTCCTGGGATCCCAGATCACCGCAGACTGTGACTGCAGCCATGAAATTAAAAGACGCCTGCTCCTTGGGAGGAAAGCGATGGCGAACCTAAACAGCATGATAAAAAGTAGAGACATCACCCTGCCAACAAAAGTCCGCATGGTCAAAGCAATGGTATTCCCAGTAGTCATGTATGGCTGCGAGAGCTGGACTATAAGGAAGGCCGAGCGCCGAAGAATAGATTCTTTTGAACTATGGTGCTGGAGAAGACTCTTGAGAGTCCCTTGGACTGCAAGAAGAACAAATCAGTCAATCCTCAAAGAAATCAACCCTGACTGTTCCCTGGAAGGCCAGATAATGAAACTGAAGCTCAAATACTTTGGCCACCAAATGAGAAGGGAGCACTCACTGGAGAAGACCCTGATGCTGGGAAAGATTGAAGGTCAAAGAAGACGGGGACGGCAAAGGATGAGATGGTTAGACAGTGTCA